TAAAAAAAATCAATATATTCGCGAAACCATAGGCTAAATATTTGGTAGCCATATTGTTATTCTACATTGCATTGAATTTTTAAAATAATTTTTTGGAATAGATGATATTAACGAAATTACAAAGTCCTTAAAAAAAATCCTGATGTCAGAGAGAAAAACTAAAAACGTAGTTTTATTATATTTGGCCCACAGTTTCGAAAGTATATTTATTGCTTTGTGTGTTTAGAAATTTTTTGTCTTTGTCGTGCGTTGGAATCTTAAAACATACTACATAAGAAAACGAATGCCAAGAGTGCTCGAGAGTTAGGGTGGCCAGATATTATAGTGACATAATCAGTACAGTTGATATCAAAAATCAGTACAAAGCCATAAAAATCAGCTCTTTTTTAAGCGAATTTTTTATTATTAACAATATAACAACCAAGTAGGAGCGCATTAATTAAAAAAAATATAACTAATAGACTTTTAAATACATATAGTATTATCAATATAAAAATTCATTCCTTACTTAATTTAAATTTTTTATAAAAATATAGTCNTGTACAGCTGTGCTCACGAAAATAGTAGTAAAATGTATTGACAGGTTTTTTGAAAATTTTTTCTTTCCTTACTTAATTTACATTTTTTATAAAAATATAGTTAATTCTATAACAAAAGACATGTGAGTTGAAGTATCAAACTTTCTAGAAAATTTATAAAAATTAAGAAAACGGCGCTACTCGAACAACAAAATTGTCCACTCATTCTTTGGCCTTTNTAATTCTATAACAAAAGACATGTGAGTTGAAGTATCAAACTTTCTAGAAACTTTATAAAAATTGAGAAAACGGCGCTAATCGAACAACAAAATTGTCCACTTAATCTTAACACCTCCATGTTACTAGTTTTGTGGTGTCCACTAATCTATCAAAGCCAATGTTATTCGCATTATTTTTGTAATCCATAATAATTTCTGAATTTGTAATAGTACATAGTATACTATTATTACAGCGCGGCAATCAAAGAGTCTCAACACTTGCTTCCGGTATTTTGGGTTTGTTCTTCATATTTGTATTAGTAACCATGATTCTCTCTGTACTTAATATCCTTCATTGGCTGGATTTTCTCTACTACTGTAGCTATATTAAATTAATAATAACAATGGTTAAATATATACCACAGGTAAGTTAGCGCTGTAGTGTGCATTTGCCCTTATTTGATTAATTGTGAGTGAGTTTGATTGCAGGCACTGATGAACTATCGACGCAAAAGTACTGCCGGTTGGAGTATTGGAACTGTACTAATGGACTTTGCTGGCGGCGCTTTTAGCATGCTGCAGATGATCTTAAATGCCTACAATTATGGTAATGATAAGTGGTGTTGAAAACGTTGTATTTTATTTTTTTTTTGTAATAAAAATGTATATTTTTCCCATTTATAGATGATTGGATTTCAATTTTTGGTGATCCGACTAAATTCGGTTTGGGCCTACTGTCCGTTATTTTCGATATGTTATTTATTCTGCAGCATTATGTATTTTACAGGTTAGTTAGTACAGATTGTCGAAATGTTTT